TAAATGAAGGCCCGAGTCTACGTGTTCACATGTACTAGCAGATTTTGATTGAGTATCTTAATGAAAACATCTTCTAAAGGGAATCAGAGATGGCGAAAGGGAGTGTTTTTAATTGGAAGTTTACTTATCTAGGCATATTAGTCATCTGTATTTCTACAACCGTAAGTATCATGATATGTAATAGAAGAAAATTATTTTAGAGATTAATTTTTGATAATTGCTTTTTATATATTGTAAATCATTCGTCTCTGTAGTTATGGAAATGTATCTTTATTTGTATAGAATTGTTCTTGTTTTGTATTTTGATGAATGTGCAGACTACAGATGAAGTATCCGATGTCCAATGCCTTTGGAGCGGAAATAAGGGGTCGTGGCAAAAACACACGCAAAAAGTTTCAGCATTTATTAGTATGATCAGATCACTCGCTGCCAGCCACTGTCACTCAATCAGTTTAATAAATGCGTGGCCATGTCTGCAAAAAATGCTTCTTTGACCAAATTGGAAATGTTATTATGAGCGCCTAAATTAAAGTAACTTAGTCAACGTTAAAGTGATGAGGTGTCACGATTTTGGTTCTGGAATGTAGCCCATCATATTCTTTATTGTTTTAACCGGTGCTAACACGGCTTGGACTTAACTTGATTATCATTGTCCACCCTGTTTAGTTAGGCTAAAGATGCTTCTAAAATTCCAACTTGCAATGTTAATAACTTCTAATTCAAAGTTTTTAGTCATCAGAAGATTGCATATTGTGTAGTCACAATTTTTGTTCTTGGAATTAAATGCAGTAGAACCCCTCCTTTGGGACACCCCTATTAATGGGGCACCTCAATTAATGGGACACTTTTTCGTGGACTAAATGGGGGAAAGTATTACTACGGCCAACCACTATTCAGGGGACTCCCCTATTATAAGAGGACACTTTTTCGGTCCCGTAGGTGTCCACTTAATAGAATTCTATTGTAATCACATTGGCCTAGGTAATATCTTAACCCTGTTTTTTCAGGGTATTGACGATTGTCTTTGTTTTGGGACGTCTAAATTTCAAAACACTTCACATCTCTGGTGTGGATTTTTTTTTTTTTTTTTAATAATGGCATGCTAAAAGTAATAGAAACAACATTATACCTACGATGGAATTATTTGACGAGACCTTAATGCGTGTTCAACAAGATGTTTACTAATACAATTTTAAGTTTGGGGGTATTGCCCATAAAATACATGTGAGAGAAGTATAGGCTAGGCTTATGGTGTAACTCTGTGGACACGTTTAGAATCCTCCACTGCTTATGGTATTTCCGTCATTAATTTCCACAAAGCGTAGGACTGATATGACTAGTCCGGCCTGCAAGGTGAAATTGAAAATATCTACGTGTGGCGTCTTTTACTATTAGGTGTATTAGAACATGAACTAGATGTCATTTAATTTAAAAGTAGCACTATGTGTAGCAATTCTTATTATTTGCAACTTATTCAACCAAACAATCACAATATTGTTTATGATTATTAAATTGTTAGACGATTCGTCACGTTGTGAATCTAGTTAGTTATAAAAATGAGGTCGAATTGTACAAAAAAGTTACTTGCTGTGATCAATTAAGTTTGTCAAGTTCGACATTATAGTGCAAGTCCCAGGTTATTAATGACATCTTTTCTATGAACTCACATTTATCATCCCAGCTGAAAATATAAATATCGTAGCCATCCATTATTTTGATTGGCTGTGACATTTCGCGTAGCATACGTGCATACCGACCTTAGAATACACGTGAAAAGATGAATGTGACGAAAATGAATGTGACAAAAATTACATTAAATGAAAAATCATCTGGATTATCGACATGCGACTCATCTTCTATAAAGTATCAATCTAATTGTCACCACTTTAACAACGACAGTGAACTCCATGGTAGGTGTCTTGAAAAAAAAACTGTTCTTATAAAGCCGGTAATAATTTAATAATATAATAACGATCAGGTAACGGTAGGTCGAGATCCCACCTCACATTCATTAAAATCAGATTGCACTCTTGGCCCCCTCCTGCTTGCCAGGGCAAACTTTCAATTATGCCAACATGTGCGAGAAACTCTATAATATTCATTTAACTAACTGTCGAAATAATGTGCTGGAGAGGTCATAATTTCTGCATGGGTATACATCAGTACGTATTATTGACGAATGGCATTTGACGAAGGAACAAGAGCGCGTGGAGGACCGGTAGAATCCACTTGAAATGCAACATGAATGATCGAGTTTGTCGAGTAGAAGGACTATGTTGAATCAACAGGGGACCCTTAAAAGTGTTGTATTTCGTTATCAAAAATGAGGTAGTTACTTACGATATTATGTTAGGCCTATGTTAGTTTATTTTAACGAGCGACTAATTAATTCATTTACGAATAAATTTCCCCTTGTATATTTGGTACAGAATCAAAATACAATGCTTTACCGCTCCCTGGGAAATATTTTTAGGCATACATGTGAATTCATCTTTGATCAAATTCATACCAAACCATTCTCCTACAGTTACCCATTTAAGCTCCTGTTTGAAAAGAAAAATCGTAGATAAAGTGCCTTGCTCAATGGCACTTTAAATGTTCCAAATTTAGCCTCGAACCCTTACCGCTGTGCCACCCGCTTCTACGTTAAAACTCTTTAATTGACATTGCTTCAGTGTATCTAAAGTGGCCGGAAAAATAAAATCTATTACGAGGATAATTGTATTACTAACACAGAGTATCCTATATTCCAATTCGACTGTTGTTCTCTTATAATAATTTAGATTGTCCAATATTCATTACGAGAAATTTAAAATACAGTAAGTACAAATATATATTATACTGCAATTATAGTAATTGTAGGCCTATAGGCCTAATAACAAATAATAATTATAATAATAAATAATAATAACAATAATAAGAAATAAGAATATTAATATTATTAAATAGCGATGGTGATGCCGTTAGTAACAACTATATAGGCCCAGCATTGTTAGCAAGAATGTATATTTTTCTGTTAATTCAATACAAGTGCTTGTTTGATTCACTAAATTGTGTACTTTTGTTGAATACCAGGCTTCAGAGTAAATAAAATGTTTAATATGTTGTTCATATTCTAGAGATTCAAAAATCTGTATCTACTTAGCCGTTCCGATTATTTTTTAAAACACCCCTTATCTCTCAGAATATACATTGTACGACATATAAAAAAGTGTCGTGACTTACGAGCATGGCGTAATTCTGCAGAAACATAGCTCCTATAAAATGTATACAACACAACTGGTATAAAATAAATACAACGTGTTAGTTTGTCCAAAGAGTCATGGCAAAGATACATGTTGTTACTTGCTAGTGATTTATTTTTGCAAACTTAAAAAAAAAAATGACCTCCTAACGCCTCCCACTCATTTGAACGTACCTCAAAATACCAATCATTTTCCTTTGGGATGTCAACTAATTGTTGTCGGAAACGGATAAAAACGATAGCAAATTATGAATAATTAGTTGATGTATTTCAGCAAAAGTAAACTTTCCTTTTTATATATATTTTCAATTGGTTAAATAGAAATCTCATGATATTTTTTTCTGTCTATAAAAAAATGTATGTCATGATCAAGGAAAACTGAACTTTGTTTTCAGAATCGTCATGGTCTGTGAATCGTAGATTTGTCTGTGTTGACCTAGAATTTTTAAAAATACAATTCAATATTTGAATTGCTTACAGTACTTTGTATATTTAAGTAACTCTATAAAAAAAAAAAGTTTCTCAACAGTCAACAGCAGCTGACGCCTAAATAATACCGTTCCTTATTTTGCACAGGCCCTTAAATTTAGAAATGGGAAGAAAGCCATCCCTGTCAAAGCCACCCAACAATGGATCATACCATTGTAAGGTTGGGTGCACAATGGGTGTTTGTCTTGTGGCTTTTTTCCTACATTCTTAAATTTGCCGGTCATCAATTTAAAAATGTTCGCAGTAAAAAGGGAATTATTACTATTATTTTCTATATGTAATTATTTACTGTATATCGTGTACAAAAAATAATAGGCCTACATAAAGTTGTGGACAAAACAGTAACAATTAATGATGGAAAATCATATCTTAACACTCATGTTAAAATCGATAAGTTTGCTTCACGACGTAAAATACTATAGCATTTAACAGAGGTTATAAATGACTGGAAGAACCAGGCACTAAACATTTAATTATTAAAGGGTAATTACTTTATCATTTGCATAATGACCTTTGTTTATACTATTAAAAAGGTAATACGGTCATTATCAATGATTTTTTATTCTTCTTAATCAAAAATGTTTAATAGATCAAAACTTCCTGTTGTATTTTCGTTCTGCATGAACAGTGAATGTATTGATATTGATAACCTACTATGGACCTTATCCCGTATTAGCGAGCTTCGGCAACAAAACGCGCGTGAATCACAAATTGAATATAATTCAACGATCTACAAATCAAGGTCCTGGAATTGTTGCCAAGCTATTTTTTTTATAAGTTTTACAAACTCACATTACATTAAAATCAGCACAAAAGCAGACGGTGAAATCTAAATTTACCAATCGTGGATTGAAGATCTGGTTTGTCGTTGATTGATTGATTTTTAATATGGCTGATGAATTCATATTTTAGGAAAATAGTTTATCAAAATGTGTAATATTCTTACTGTGACTTCTGAAACAAAATTAGGTACAATAACATCAAAATAGTTTCGTTTCAAACTCGTAAAATAAATCATTAAGTTAACACTTATCTTGTTGAAAAATGTGTGTTATTGACCTCCTAAACCAAAGATGTCGCTAACTTTCAAATTCATTGATAAAACACTTGACGTTAATCGGTGATTACTGTATAGCAAATCCAGTGCTATGTAATGCAACAGGCTTTGGTTAGATCTCTTCTCGGGATGACAAATCAAAGAGTGGCTAGACACTGCTTTATGCCATGCTGATGTGCCTTGATTCAAAGCGACAATACAAATTTCCCTTAGGATCATAATAAAATGATCCGAAGCAAGTTTTCTTTAAAAAAAAACAAAAAAAAAAAACACCAGATTGAATCGAGGTTCATTAATAAGCATAACACTTTAATAAGGCAAAAATAAGATTTTTTTTTTTCTGACCGACCCATAAGTCTCGGCATTATAGG